ACTTCCTGGTAGGGTGTAACAGGGCCACTTTAAGGCTGCTTCTGGGAGCACGGGAAATTGTACAGTAGATGTGCCATGTCATGAAATTCCGAAAGTAGGGTTGTACTTTCGATTATACTGCGGAATAATCCCAAGATATTTCAGTCACGTTGGGATGTCGGCTTTTGAACGCGCTTCTTTGCGGCCGCCTCCAAAAAATGACTGCTTAAATAGAAGGATTTTTTCGCACTTACTCCCGAGCTCCTCAAAATCGAAATATATTCTTTCTTGTACTCACTTGGTAACAAATTACGCCTCCCATAAATGTCATACTTGACGAATAAGCATTGTTCGGTTTTGAAAAGACTGTTAAGTTCCAGAATAATTTTGTACCCTTCCAGTCGTTGCACATGCATCCGGAGTTTTTAAACTAAAAGCTGTATACTTTCCATGTTGGGAAAATCATAATTTTTTGTTTGTCAGTACGAAGCTGTCGTATAGGGCTCATAAAATGTTGTGCTAGATGTCGACTATATCCACTTTGTAAACAACATCAATATACGCGCTTCCGCATGACTGGACATTCTGCAATCTCAGAAACCCCATGCTTACAGTGCGTGACTGATCTCATGAAATGTTGGCTGAAATTCTGAAATGCGTTTTCGATTAGGAAGGATTACGTAGGCGGGGCCGTAATACAGATTATCTCGCGGCATAATCCTATAATATTTCGGACTGGGCAAGATGTCCGCTTTTGAATGCACCGCTTTTAGCCTTCCGTAGAAACCGCACTTTGAAAAAAAATGACCACATAAGTGGCATGCATGTTTCACATTGATTTTCAAGGGTCTTGCAAATTCAGATATATCTTATAGAAACCATAAACAAAAACTTGCTTTCTTTCAGTCGTTTGATAGAGAATTACGTAATCTTCATATTTTATACTCGAAGAAAAAGTGTAAATAGGTTTAAAAAAGTTTTTAATTATGATGTTTTTAAGACCGCGCAATGTCCATTCATAGAGCATCTTACCTGTCCGTTTACCACTGCTCCTCATGAAATGTACAATATAGACCGCATCGTTTACAAAATTTTATGGACTCTATATAGTATCTTTTCAAAGACATAGAAGATTATGTGATTTTCCTTACGCTGAACGCATGCACCTTGCAGACTTAACTTATTAAACCCCAATGCAACGACTGATCAGCCTCCAAATTAATCGGGAATTGGAAAACTTTTTAAAACCTTATTACACTCCTTTTTTCAAGTATAAAATATAAAGATGACGTGATTCTTTACCCAACGAGCGGAAGAAGGCATATTTTTGCTTATGGTTTCTACTAAATTTATTTGAATTCAAAAGAACATTGAAAATCAATGTGAAAATGCTTGCCATTTATGTAGTCATTTCTTACAAAAGTGCGGTTTCTATGGAGAATAAAAAGCGGAGCATTCAAAAGCTGACATCCTTCCAAGTCCGAAATATTATAGGATTATGCCGCAAGACGATCAGTATTACAGTCCGCCTAAGAAATCCTTCCTAATCGAAAACGAATTCAGAATTTCAGCCAACATTTCATGAGATCGGACACTCACTGTAGATGTTTCTTTAAAACCTTCCTATAAGTTCGAAATTTGCTACCAATGAATACGAATGAAAGGGAGTATTTCGTGCATGTTTTCTCAATGAGTAAATCATGATATTTAAGTACTATTTTTTTAGAGTTTACTTTCTGCAGGCGGCCGAAGGGGAGGCCGTTCAAAAGCCGGCATCCTGAGGTTACTGAAATACTTGTGGGAATATATCGCACGAAAATTATTATTATTACAACCCAACTTAAGTAACCTTTTCGAAATGGAAACGCATTTCAGAATTTTGGTCAACATTTAATGAGATAACACATCCACCGTATGTCAACACTACAGGGCAGAAGTGAACACAGTTTACTGAGTGTGAATAGGGTTCCGTGATAGCCGATGCCCTCTTTCTTGCGGTTACCCTTGTGTGCACATGGCCTTGAAATGCCCCGCCTGCATCGATTGGCTGATGTGAAGAAAAAGGGTGGTCGAACACCGGAACGTTCTGTTCATTATTATGATTGTTCGAACTCGTGCGGTAGTCCGCCGTCGCAGATAGTAGCAACAACAGAGCAAGTGGCAGTTATAGGGCGAATTGGCCAATCATCGACCGACGGCGCAAGGCCGGAGGTGACTGCGCTGGGTTCTGTGCGTCGGCGCCAGATCGATAAATCGATTGACTGGAATCTCATCCTTGACCCAGGCTTCAATGCATTCTCGGCCTGCTTTGTTTTCGGCGTGGGCGACTATTTTGGTGGCTGCGGTGTTACACCCGTTTCGTAGGTGTGGGCTGCAACTTGTGCTAATACGTCGCCTCGTCGCACAGCCAGCTTATGTTCGCGCATGCTCGACCCGAACATGCGTCCAGTCGGACCTGTGTAGTTACAAGGGCAGTTTTGGCAGGGGATGCGGTGTACCACTCAGGATTGTTCCTCAGGCTTTAACGGGCCTTTAATTTTCATGACCATATTGCCCATGGTGGCTTTGGGGTGATGTGCAATTCCAACGCCTAGCACCCCAATAATGCGCTCGGTTGCCTATGAAAAATCCTTAACGTATGGTAGAGAATGTCATATCGTGGGTGCTGTCGATGTTTGGGTCCTCTGGGGGCGACCGCGTAGGCAGCGACTTATGAATGCTATTTTGCAGAAACTGATCGCGGAGGTAACGGGCCTCACGTGCTCTTTCCTCCGGTTAGCTGCCATGAGTCTGGGTCCGTTTGGAGAGCGTCTTCACGTGGCTTCGTTTGTGAGACACCGGATGGTTGCTGTGATAAATGACAAGCAGTGTGGTGTTCATACCGAAAACAAAACAGGCCGAGAATTCATTGGAACCTGTTTCCCGGATTAGAATCCAGTCAATCGATTTATCGATTTGGCGCCGGCGTACAGAGCCCTACGCAATCAACTCTAGTCTTGCACCGTCGGCCGATGATTGGCCAACACGCCATTTGTTCTGTTATTGCTATTACCTCTGACGATGGACTCCTACGCGAGTTCGAAAGCACAGAACAATAAACAGAATATTCCGATGCTCGACAACCCTTCTTCTTCACTTATGCATACACCTGGAACTCGAACTTTAGCCGTTACTGGCTGATGTGACTTACGCGGGAGGACGACAGCCAAATTATGCTGGACACCAGTCTTCACTAAAGACTATATCATCTCCTGTCGGTGAAGCGTTTTGTGAGATGCACTGCCCGCGCTAGTGGTTTTCTCGCGGTCCCCAGAGACCTACAGGGGATAGTTGACTAAAAGTGTGATCTTTACATCTAGATAGAAGGTAGCCTCTGATGTTTCCGGAGTCTCCGTAGGGTGTCCGCGAGCTTGCGGGTTACTGCCTACATGCCTCCTGGGAGAGACAGCATCTCAAGGTCGCCAGCTCATGGCTAACGAGTTAGGTTGAGGTCGCCGTTCCGTAACAACTGACTCGCAATTGGGGATTTCGGGTTCAGGTCCAACCACCGGACACGCCCTGTCTCGGATCAACATGAGCACATGTAAACGACCGCTGCCACAACTATTCCTCTACCCAGTCTTTTACGAAACTTGGGTTGCGGCTGTAAGAAATCTGTTCTTCAGGGAATCATTTTTACTAGCGCCCGAGGTTCTGAAGATGCCTTGATAACGTAAATCCTGTGTTCTATGGTCCCCCGTTGACCCCATGCGCTTGAGTGTAGACAGCTAGGTAATTAGCTACCCCCGGTCGAATTTCGAATGCTGTAGCGAACATCTGGGGGGGGGGGGCGAGGAGGGGAAATGTCTTGTTAACCAGTGCGATTACGAGGGTATGGTGTAGCCAGATGGTCATGCGTATTGAGACAGATGCCCTTAAGTAAACAGGTATTCAGACAGGCGCAAATGAGGGCTTAACAGCTGGTTGCACGAGAAAAAACGTTTGTCCTTTGCGGCTAGACTTTTGTCAACGGGACCTCCAAAGTAAGCCATGCATATTTGTATTATTTGTGTGAATCGAATCCCACCGAAACCCCCTATGAACAGGGTACATTGAGGAATTTCTGGAATATGTTTGGAACTCAGCATGGACTTTAAGAAGTCTGGTTACTATGTCATGAGTAAACCGTCATGAGACCCGTCGGAGGTACTGTAGATCGGCAATTTTGTCTTCCGGCTCACTGCAGTGCGTTTCGACACGCCGATAGAGCGTCCTTACACAACTGCGTTTGTGGCTGATTGGGTGGTTGCTGTTGAAGTTCAGTACTTGCATCGTATTTGTCGTTTTCCTGAACACTTTGGTCTTTAGTCCACCACAATATTTGCGGCATACGAGGACATCCAGAAAGGCCAGCTGGGTGTTCACTTCCCTCTCCATCGTGAAATGAATGTCCGGGAAGACGGCGTTGAGATGTTCTTGGAAGGTCAGCACCTGATCCCGTTCGATGACGACGGGCCCAGAACTTCAGTTTGTGGTGTTGGAAGACCAGCGAGTCTAACCGTTGCAGGACCGCCTCGGCGATGTATCCCGAAATCGGCGAACCCCTTGGTGTGCCCTTCACCCGTTCGTAGATTGTCCCGTCGAACGTGAAGTACGTCCTGAGACAGAGCTTCGGCAGCTGAAGGATTTGGGCGTGTCCAAGACTGTTCCCCGTTTCATCGTATTTGCTTTGTAGTAGCAGCTCAATTGTCTCTATCGCCAGGTCCTGGGGAATAGAAGTAAAAAGGGATGTAACATCAAAAGATACCATGACCTCATTTGGATGGATGCTTACCCCTTTGAGTTTCTCCAGGAATTGTGCTGACGAAGAGACCGTGGTGTCTGACTCAGCGGTCAGGAACTTGAGACTCCGGAACAGCCACTTAGCCAGTCCGTATGTTGGAGTCCCTTTGAGCGACACGATGGGTCGGAGAGGAGCGCCGTCTTTGTGCACCTTAGGGAGGCCATAGACTCGGGCCAAAGTCGTATCTTGGGGTCTCGCCATGCGTCTGTCGGTCGGTGTTATTGCACCTGAGTTCTCCAAGGCCAACAACGTAGCATTAATTTCGCGTGTCAGCGCTTTTACAGGGTTCGTTGCACATGGGACATAGAACTGTCGGTCCTCCAGTAAACCTTTGGCTATTTGAGGGCAGTCTGTCCTGTCCAGAACAATTGTGGTGCGCCCCTTGTCCGCTGGCACGATGACCAAGTCTTTGTCGGCCTTGAGTTCTCTAAGCGCATCACTTTCCACCTAGGAAAGCACTTCCCGCGGCCTGTTGGCCTATGTGAATGACCCGCGTGGATACTAATTCCCAAAGTCGCAGGAATAGAATCACTCCTTTGTCGACACCGTGTCACGTGGTTCGCTCCGTGACAAACTACTCCGTAGCTGAACGAAAATTGGCAACTTTTGGCGCTCACAAGGGTAGAATGGTAGTTGGTAGCCCCGCCCACTGATTCTCTAATTGTACTTACTGGCTCGATTTCAAGCTCTGTGATTACGTTCTCATTATGTCTGTGAGTGCACGCGCAGAAGCCCTGTCAGGATGACTTTCTTCTTCACTTTAACCGCCCCGAGAACGAAGCGCTGCAAAAATGTCTATATAGACTCATTGTATTGCACCCCTACACGGAAATCTTTAGTAAAGGGCGAAAGATTTATCCTAGGCGGATTATGATTCATCATACTTCTAGTTGCATGCGCGCACTGTGTTACCTGTATCTGATTTATTTTAGAGGTACTATCCTAGGCTGCATACCACAGTACCCAGATGTTACCTGAAGGCATAACCATCCGCGTGCTGTCGCAGTATTTGTAAGTGCATGACTTTTCGACATCTACATAAGACCCTACAGGTCAGTAGTCTTTTTTGCTGGATATACTGCACTAGGTAGGACGACTGGATTATTTCCAGGATCCGCGAATAATCTGTCGGCCTATGCGCTTGCGGTACTGCTTTCCTTCGCCTTCTAAGAGACTGGTCTCTGCAAGCAGAACAAAGTGTAGCTTCATATACAGAGTGCTAATTCCTCTTTACATTGTATAGTACATCATTCATGCATAGCAAACAACTACTGCCATAGTTTAAATCCTAGATGTGGCCACAGTGACAATACACTATTATTTGCGGATTTTCTCTTTCACCCAAACATATTTTTCGCATTAAAGTCTTATCCCGCTTGCGTTATGCCGTCCTGCGTGCCGCTGCTTGACTCTCGTGTTCTCATGTCCATTCTGTTGGTTAGAGTACAATCGCACATACTGCGGAATGACCTTAAGACACACTGCCTTCTTCCTATTGGTTGTTCGCCTTCACTTGCTATTCTTTCCAATCTGGGGCAAGGATGCATTTATTCCGCATACCGTACCAATTATCCATGCTTATTTCTATACTCTCCTTGCATTTTTCACCTTATTTAAATTAGGCTTCCACTTTGCCAGGAACGTCAATTCCAGGCTACCCTACAAGCGCCATTTGCGCCTCCACTCATCTGCCCCACCCGCATAGCCCCTATTACCACCGATCCCGTAAGACAGGTAGCTGGGAGTTTTCGGTACCGGGAGGGCTACCAACTATCATCTAACCCTCATAAGTGTACAGTACGCTTCATTTTGACGGGCAACGATGCAGTACTGTAGCATATCCGCTACTTCGATATCAAAGGGTCAACAAATCTTGTCAAAAGCTGGTCCTCTGTGCGCAACTAGCGCGAATGGTACCCCGACGACCTTACAGAAAGTACGCCTAAAGTGGTTAACCCCTCCTCCCCCTCATTTGAAGCTCATATGTGACAGTCAGGTACCAACCCTGCTGTCACATTGGTAAATGCAGAGACATGACGTTTTGGGAAGGGCCATTTCACGGTATTAAAAAACCTCACAATTAGAGACTTATTTAAAACTGAATTATATCCTCGCATAGAGTATAAAATTGGAGGAAGACGTAATTTTCTACCGAATGAGCAAGAGAATGACTATTTTTATGCATGTTTTCCGTGAAATATTATTGGACTTTTAGGGCCATCGAAAATCAGTAAGAAAATTGCATGCGACTTAAGCAGTGATTTTTACAGAGTATAATTTTTTGCTGCAACCGAAAAGAAGTTCTTTCAAAGGCCTGCGTCAAATCATTCTTTCGCCCATTCGGTAGTATATTAAATCTTCTTTCAATTTTATACTCGGAAAGACATAATTCGGTTTTAAAAATGTTTTCACTTGTGAGGCGTTTTATATGATGAAACTTCATGTCTCTGCATTTACCAATGTGGCTTGTAAAGTTAATAGTATGGATCAAATTCACTGCCTAATTTTATTAACTCCATATGGTTTCCTCTCAATACCGTAGAGAAATATGTGGTTTTACGTACGCGGAAAATACATGGTTTGTAGTTTGGGAACCCTGAATGCAAGTGTGATGGCAGAAAGGGCTTAAAATTATTCGGGAATTGAAAAAGTTTTTGAAAACCGAATAATATTCTTCCTTCGAGCATAAAGTTGAAAGAAAACGTAATTTTCTACCTAGTGAGCGGGAGAATGAATATTTTGATTCATGTTTTCCATGAAATATAACTGGACTTTTAGAGGCATCGAAAATCAATGAGAAAAATTCATGCTACCTACGTAGTCTTTTTTTACAGAGTATAGTTTTTGCATGCAGCCGGAAGGAAGTTCATTTGAAAGCGGGCATCCTGAGTTGCACTGCAGACTGGTTTGTTTTACAACCTTACTTACTTAATCTTTTCGAAACGAAAATGCATTTCGGAATTTCGGTTGATATTTCATGAGTTAGTCCACCTACTGTAGTTAATAATTCCGATCGCAACCGACATGACAACAGGGCAGAGGCTCAGTTAGTAGAGCGTTGGACGTAATAACTTTCGGATCGAATCTCAGGTGCCCACGTAACCTGAGATGGTTGACAGCACCTAATAAACCAAAAATGACCATCCGGGTCTCCCTTGTCTTACTTAGTACTCTATCCATCTATTTGCATATAATAATGTGTCAGATTAGCAAAGTTGAGAGATTCGGGTTGATGATTTGAAGGAAAAGATGGGCTCACCGGAACGGGTTTATTTAGGTGCTGAAGTTTCAAAGAGCTTGGACGGCACCCCAGTGTCGAGGCGTAAAATGCACATAATCGACCAGAAATTTCGAGTGACATGTCGGGTTGGTCGGCCTCATGCTGATCTATTCTTCTCTTCTCTCGCTGCCTCGATCTCTCAAGGGATGGTTGGCGGGCGTTTTATCTGTGTGCTTTGTGAGTCGCCACTTCCTTGGGGGGGTGGGGGGTGACTGAACCTTCGTTGGGTGGTCTGTCCGATGGTTCTTCTTCCTCGTCGAGTGGACTCGCCGTGGGGCTGTCTGTGTATGGCCTTTTAAAGTCCAGTGTGGTTACTTGGTCTCGAGCTCTACGGATGTGATGACTTAGGACTCTGTAGGCTGCAGGAAGGTCCAGATGCCTGTGGATGGAGTTGGCATCGGGGTACCAAGCCTCAAGTGTTAGTCGTTCTGTTTTTGTGTTGCCCCGGCCTAAGATGGTAGCTCCTTAATGCTCGAAAGTACGCCCAGTTTCTCAAAAGTGCGTTATTAGTTGAGAGTTTGGATCTAGTTTCCAAGTCGCTTATTTGTGCTCTTGTAGGTGGGTCTGCAATTTCCGCCCGGTTTCCTCAACATAGTTGCAGTCGCCCTCATTGCAACGTTTTTTGAATACAAATCCTGGGATGTCAGCAGGTGGCTTTTTAAGGCCCGGAAATGCCCGTTCATAAAACATCGTGTCTCTGCATTTACTAATGTTGCTTGTAAAGTTTACAATATGCTCAAATTTACCGATAAATTTTACGAACCCCCTATATGGTCTCCTCTTAATACTGTAGAGAAATATGTGATTTTCCGTAACCTGAAAATATTAAGCTTGTAGTTTTAAAACCCTGAATTCAAGTATAACGGCTTGTCGGTTTCAGAATCATTCGGGAATTGGAAAAGTATTTGGAAACCGAATTATACCCTTCTTTAAAGCATAAAATTTGGAAAAGACGTAATTTTCTACCGGATGAATAAAGCAATGAAAATTTATATGCGTGTTTTCCTTGAAATATATTTGAATTCATAAGGGCATCAAAAAACAGTGAGAAAATTTCATGTAACTGAAGTAGTCATTTTTATCTAGTGCAATCGACGCAGGCAATCGAAAAGAAGTTGTTTCGAAAGCCGGCATCCTGAAGTAATTGAATTATTATTGGGTTATGCTGCACGGTTACTAATATTACAACTCTACCTAAATAATCTTTTTGAGTTGAAGACGCATTTCAGAATTTCGGTCAACATTTCATGAGTTAGCACATCTAATCTAGGTGCACTTCAAAAAACAAAACTAGTTGAAGAGCGTAGGCGAAAATTAAGGTCTAAAATTGGAGTGATTATACATGGAAAGGCAGGTAACATGACCCAGCAGGTAGTGAGGAATCACATGAAAAAGTGCTGTTACAGCGACCAAAGCCCCTCAGACCGCGTTCCGAGAAGGTGGAATTTTGTATGCTGTACAGAATAGAGGCCTGCGAGTTTCTTTAGAACTTGTTTTCTTCCGTGTAGGAGTTTGTCAGTCCGTTTGGAATGGCCTCGATTTGCCGAACACCGACAAATCCTCAGTGTCAGATGAGAGCACGGCCGTTGGAGTCTTAGAGGCAGGCGTGTATCGGTCAGAGACTTCCCGTTTGCATCAAACGTCGTCAGTGGGTTTGATACATTAATGTGCCCTTGGCCGCGGAATGGTGCCCCCCCCCTCCCATTTAAAAGACCTCGGCATCCAACACAAGTGCTATGCATCTGACATCAGCATCAAGTAGATGGAGTTCGGAGTACGTACGAACAGGCATCGTCAACGCCGAGACAAACGTGACGATTAGAACGAGTGGGCGTAGATTGAGGGGGAGGGGGGAGGTATGGATGACCACGGGGCTCACGGTGTTGGTAATGAACGCATTTTTGGACCGATGCGCTCCCATGCACTTGCCCCCCTCGGCCACCCACAATGAGCAACCGTGATTGACAGAGCGAAGTGGACTGACTCGTTTTTGGACAAAAGACCTGGGATAGTCAAGACAGTGGTGAGTACGCAACCAGAAAACGATCATTCACAGCCTCGACAGTTCGCAACTGCCAGTTAGGAGTCTCCACTCGAGATAAGTTGTCACAGCACTACCGTTGGCGGGTTCAATAGCGGCACTTGAACACACTCAAAGTCTCGATGCATTCTGACCAGGTGGACATTACTGGGTACTGCCTCCTCCTCAAGGGGCTGCGGCGGAGGGGAGTTTAAGACGAACAGCGATGATAATGATGATGACGACGACGACGACGACGACGACGATGATGATGATGATGATGATGATGATGATGATGATGATGATGATGATGATGATGATGATGATGATGATGATGATGATGATGATGATGATGATGATGATGATGATGATGATGATGATGATGATGATGATGATGCGGGAAGCAGCACTGGTCCCCAAACCTGCTGCAGATGTCCCACCTGCCATTGTCTTTTAACGCGGAAGGTGCTCGAGTGGACTGATTTCGGTAGGGCCGATAGCAAGGATACAATAAAGATATTGGACTACCTAACACATTAGATATTCATGACCGACCTACAAGCATCTACCAAGGCACCAGACTGAAAGGAACGACTTTGTGCGAGATGCAAAGACGGAAAAAGGGTTTAAAATATGAAAGCGTGGCAATTCGTGCCAAGCTGTGGGAGCACAGAATACTTATTCATGCAAAAACGGAGTAAATAAAGTGGCAAAACCACAGAAATGTTTGCAGAAAACCTCCGGATAACTATGTTTCATCATTTGATGTAATATACACTAGGACAATTAGTTAATTGCTTAATATTAAAGGATTTTCTACTAGACGATGCCATGGGATTTAAAGCCGGCATAGATCGCAGAATTTATTGGAACCAGTAAGTTTATCGACGGCTTATCAACTGCAGCCTGTCGTTGCATAACACAGATAACAAGTGAGAAAGATACAGAGGTTTGAACTTCCACAGAGAAAATCAATGTAAAACAGCAAGGTCATCGTATACTGCACGTAGTCTAATCAATAAAATGGTAATTTGAAAACGCATCATCATACATATACAGTTTTCTGTACTGGGAAACGGACATCCCAAGAAATTCAGTTAAAAATAAGCAAGATTCTTTGGGAAGAAAATAACCTTTAGTACGTAAATTTTCGCGACTAGTTCCCCGGCTCGTCGTCAGACTTCTGGTTAATGTATACAAACAGTTAAGTATTTGAACGTGTCGAAGAAGTGGTTCTATGGTTGACCGAAGCCTGCGCCAATGGGCGTCAATGGTTTTTCCTCACCCCCTGGGCATTGGCTGCGCTCGCCTCCATTTGTCCATTTGCATGCGGCATCTAAATCGATATGTCGATTGATGCATGCCTCATCTGAGTGAATTGCCTCCAGGAATTCGCGGCCTTTTCTTACTGGGCAGACGCCAACAATGCGAGTCTTCTCCCATGCAAATTTGCGTCCAGTGTGTGCATAGCCACCTGGGATAGGCGATCTCGTCTCTTCACCGCTAACTGATGCTCATGTATGCGGGTAGAGGCAGATTTCCCAGTTTGGACACAATAGACGGCATCACAACTGGAACATGGTATTTTGTAGACAATACATTTTTTATCAAGATAGTCAACCCTGTCCTTAGCAGGTACAAGCTGTGTACGCAAGGGGGTTGTAGGTTTGTGTGCCACTTTGTATCTGATGGTTTTTCAGCTGTCTTTCGACGAGCTCAGATACACTGTTCACGTATGGTAGAGTCTGCCAGGCATATGCTTTCGGTGCCTGGATGGCCGCAATGTTCGAAATACCTTTCTGTTTAAACTCACGCCTCATGCAATGACGTACAAAGTCGCGCGGGTACCCGTTGTGGCAAAATAATTTGAAGAGATATTCCATTTCTGCTTTATAACTTCCTTCATCAGAGCAGTGTGCTTGAGCTAGGGTAAGGGCTAGGGTTAGGCGTTGCAGGCAAGGCCACCGTTGGCTAGAGTTTTCCCAGTGGGGTTACATACCATATTCTTGATCACATTAATAAGGTATAAGGGAGGATAGCACGTCCTCCTGATATCTGATAGCTAAACGAAAGGTGTCTTTTTCGGTTAAAAACAGCTATAAATACCTGATTTTTTGCAAGGCGACCCCACTTTCAGTTGCTCGTAAGGTCCCCAACCTGCGTGCAGGGTGTTCTAACCAAAACGGATTGTTTCTTGTCCCCATGCCTTCGTGAATAGATTTTCTGTTGTTGACGACATTCACAGTTTGACCATCGCGAACGACGATGGCTACCGCATGTGCACAGAGTGGGCGTGGTATCCGTGACTAGCGCGGGGGTTAGTTTATTGCGGAGTAGGCTTACGAAGCATCTGCTGCACACACTCTCCTTTCTGGCCAACGTTGCTCGGATGGCAAGACAATACCGCGACTACCGGGAATGTGCTCGGGCGCGATGAGTGATAGAGTTAGACAGCCCGTCCACGCGTTCCACACACGATCCAGTTCCCACGGTGGGTATCAATCAATGAGAAAAGTGCATGCTACTTAAGTAGCCATTGCTGCCGAGTGTAGTTTCTTGAAGAGGTCGAAAGAAACGCATTCAAAAGCCCACATCCTGGCAAGTCTGAAATGTTACAGGATTATGTGACAGGATAGTCAACATTCCAACCCCATTTACGGTAATTGTACTGATTCATGAAATGTTAACTGACACTGAAATGCGCTTTCGATTCGAAGAGACTATTTAAGTAAGGCGCGGTGAGTGACAGAGTTAGACAGCCCGTCTACGCGTGCCACACACGATCCAGTGCCCATGGTGGGTATCAAGTAACCACCTGGTGATAGGCTGGACGTAGAAGATGAAATACTGCGTTGGAAATGGATCACGCCGTATAATATGTAAGTAGCAAAAACAAACCTAAAAGACAATGGTAGGGTGTAGGACCCCGGACTAATTTGAGGAAGCCTGCGGACCGTGTCATACGTTAAGTGGTGGTAGAGGAGGTTTTACGGGTGGGGCAGCACGCAAAACGAAGAACAGGCGAAATAAATAAATTTCTGCTATGGCAAAGAAAGTCAGTGCGATAATTTAAAAAATCGACGAAAAGAAATTTTCAAAAAGAACGGACTTTAATCAAACCATCGTCGGCAAGTTTACAATCAGTCAAGAAAATCCCATTGTCTTCACATTTTATACCTAAAAATGCATAATGCGGTTTGAAAAAGTTCCTTTATTCCTGAATAATTTTGTGCCACCTCAGCGGTTGCATTGGTTGCAATTGTACTAACTCATGAAATGTTAACCGACACTCTGAAATGCGCTTTCGATTCGAAGAGACTACTTAAGTAAGGCTGTAATATAAATCCACATGCAGAATATTCTCATAATATTCCAGTTACCACAGGATACCGGCTTTTGAATGAACTTCTTTCTTGCCGCATGCATAAACCACACTCTGCAAAAAAATGACTACTTATCTAGCATACATTTTTCTCATTGATTTTCGGTGCCCTCAAAAATTCAGTTATATTTCATGGAAAACATGCATAAAAATATTCATTCTTTTGCTCATTCGGTAGAAAACTATGTCTTATTTAAATTTTATATCTGAAGGAAGTGTGTTATTCGGTTTTGAAAAACTTTTCCAATTCCTGAATAATTCTAAACCCGACCTACCATTACACTTGGATTCAGGGTTTCAAAACTACAGGCCGTATATTTTCTGCGTACCGAAAACCATACATTTATCTAAGGCACAAAGAGGAGACTATAGAATTTAGCAGTGGATTTGAACCATACTGTAAACTTTACAAGCTACATTGATGAATGCAAGGACACGATGTTTTGTGAACGGCCATTTCAAGGTTTTAAATATCTCACAATTACAATTTTTTTAAAACCGAATTATGCCCTTACTTTGAGCATAAAATTGGAAGAGGACGTAATTTTCTACCAAATGAGCAAAATAATGAATATTTTTATGCATGTTTTCCATGATATATAATAGAATTTTAAAGGACATCAAAAATCAATGAGAAAATTTAATGCTAGATAAGTAGTCACTTTTTTCGGGGTGTGGTTTTTGCATGCAGCCGGAAAAAAGTCCATTCGAAGTCGGCATCCCAAAGTTACTATATTATTATAGCATTATGCTGCATGATTATTAGTTTTACAACCCTACTCAATTAATCTTTTCGAAACGAAAACGCATTTCAGAATTTCGGCTGAGATTTTTTGAGTTAGCCCACATACTGCAAGTCCAGAGGCAGAATGGGATGAGCACGTCCCGTAACCTAGTCGATGAACCCATCTTCCTACAGCAGTTTGTCTCCGTTAACAACCCTCTGGCAGTTCGAACGTCGATTTCAAAGTCTCGGATTGAGCAGGACGGTATGTGGCAGACAAACTTAGCCCTAACTCCAACCATGACCCCTTCCGTAACCGGAACCTTTAACCTAGCCTTGATTTTAACCACAAATTTGGTCATTTTTTGAATCTTAGCCAGAAACGTGGCTGCTTAAATCAAATAGGCGGGCATGTTATAGCAATAAAAACCCTGCTTACGTAATCCTTTTGGAACGAAAGCGCATTTCAGAATTTCGGTTAACATTTCATGAGGCAGTACACCTACTGTAAGCAGTCTTTCCTAGTGGATTATGCTGCATGATAAGCAATACTACAACCCCACCCAAGCAATCCTTCGTAATGGAAAAAGGCATTTCAGAATTTCGGCCAACATGCCATGAGATCGGTCACGGCCTGTACTCACACCCATCACGAGCATGCAGTGTGCCTGCAGCGGCGACAAAAGTCATCCCGCGCGCGTGCGACTGCGTACGTCGTGCTGCTGGATGGACAGGGTTAAGACGACGTGCTCACGACGTGCAGCGTTTCCGCATCAAGTGGCAGCTTGGGGGGAGGGGGGACCGCGTCAGGTGCGCCGGTGAGCGAGAGCGGCACGGCGTGCTACGGGGGGTCAATTACGGGTGTGGTTTTCGCTCTGTTAATACAGCCGTACGATGTGGTGTCCTAGATGCTCCACGGCACAGAGAAGATGGCAAGAGTCGGGTAAGGAAGTGACGCAAATGAAGACTACGAGTTCATGGGATGTTTCCCGAAAATAACGTACTTGTTGCATGGCAACACGGGTGGTAGTCACTAGTCCAGACACGTATTTTGCCGATGTATACAGTAGGTGGGTTAACTCATGAAATGTCAACTGAAATTCCGAAATGCGTTTTCATTTCGAAAAGATTGATTAAGTAGGTTTGTAAAACTAGTCAGCGTACAACATAATTCTATAATATTTCAGTTACCTCAGGATGCCAGCTTTCGAATCAACTTCCCTCCGGCTGCATGAAAAAGCTACACTGCAAAAAATGACTACTTAATTAGCACGAATTCTTTTCACTGATTTTTGATGCCCCTAAAGATCCAATTGTAGTTCATGGAAAACATGCATAAAAATATTCATTTTTTGCTCATTCAGTAGACGATTACGTCTTCTTCCAATCTCATACTCGGAGGAAGGGCATAATTCGGTTTTCAAAAACTTTTTC